GTTGCAGAGTTTAAAAATACATACTAGACAACTGAGACGTCTCTGGTCTTTTTCTTTTACATAAGGACTAGATTTTTTCACAGAATAGTCTAGACGGTGGCAGAATGAAGTGAGGCAACAGCCCACACACAATTTGGGGAGCAAATGCTTAAACAGGTTTCTGAGTTCTTCTCCCACCCGGAGATTTTGATAAGGAAAAGACTAAAAAATTCAGAAGCATCTTGAGTCCCTCTGAGCACAGGGTAGGATAGGGACAAAAGTCAGCAAGTGATCAATCCCATTATTCTGACCTTTGATAGTAAGGGCACATTTTTGTGGACTCAGGGTGGATCATAGGGAAAAGGGAACAAGGAGAGAGCTGGTTGTTAGTCTCTGCAAGTCAGTCCTGGAGAAGAGGCAGCAATTTGTCATGAAAACCCTGATAGAGAAGGGTGTTCTCATAGACAACAGAGTAAGGATCAGTAGCCTTCACGAAAGGAGGAGGGAAATGGTGGGCCTGGGTGAAAACAATCTGTAAGCGACACAATATTGCCCCTTATCAAAGGTGAATCATTTCCAGCCCAGCAGGGAAGAAAGAAATTCAGAATCTGCTGGACCAGACAGCGACAAGTCATTGTACTCATTGTTCAATTCAAACCCATCTGGAAGGGACAGACTTCAAGATCATCAGAGCACGTGTCTTAGGCTGAAGAAGATGACTAGTGAGTTCCTAGGATGGTTTTGTCCCTGCAGTAAATAGGATACACAATAACATTTTAGCATCAACAAATGAAAAAAAAAATGTGAGTTAACCCCACTGATTTTGAGTTGCAAGACAGAAAAACGTGCAGGTCTCTCGGGTGTTGTTTTGCTTTATTTTTCTGCAAGGTGGGGTATGTAGATAGACTATGTTGGGCCAGTAGTGAATATTTTTAGACACACCTATGCAGTGCAGCTTTTGAATGGACTGCCCTCTAGGTATCAAAATGTTCCTCGATAGTTTACATTACTGTTCTTATGACCAAAGCTTTTGAAAATGTGAGGCTGTAATTTGCCAGAGGAAATTATACATCATTTAAAATTATATAGTGTGTGACACCAGTGAACAGTGTGATTTTGGAAAGGAAACTTCCAAAAATTTTGTGCCTGCAGTGTGTATGATCAGCCAGTTGGCCTTTCATAGCATAAAGACACTTAGGGCATGTCCACACTGCATATGACAGTGCTACATTAGACCTCATCGAGAGCTCAGCTCAAGGCCAGGTACACACATGTGCGTGGTAGAGTGCAGCTGTGGGGGGACCTGTCATGCCTGGTCTGCATCTGCGTCTTCACAGGAAGCTCTCTATAACCCCTGAAAATGTACCCTTGTGATACAAACATTTCCCAGAGATCATTTGGAATTTATTAAATTAATTTTAAGTGTTTGATAAGTATCATTCCAAACACAAGAAGAGAATAAACAGGCAGTTATGAGTGAAAAAGCTGGGTTAATCTGGAATACGAAGTTTTCTTTATTTCATCTCAGGCTTTTAGGATTCAACATAAGAGCAAGTAAATGATATATTGCTGATAGGGTTATACGGTAATGGACTGAACAGAATAATTTTTCTAGTGGAGCTCCTCAGGCATCAATTTTTGTGCTAATCTTATTTAATATTTCCATTAATGACCATGGCATGATTATTAGGGATGTACTGACATCACAAAATTGTGAGGCTTTATTAATGTGGAGAAGATTTTGGATCTACTATAGGGAAGATTGTACAAATGGCCATAAGGACAGGAATAGAAATGGGATGAAATTCTGTGAGAAGATTTGATCTACTATAGGGAAGATTGTACAAATGGCCATAAGGACAGGAATAGAAATGGGATGAAATTCTGTAATACAAATTTCACAGTGTATACTTGTGGATTAATGACTGAACTCCTGTAATGTGGGAGCTTAGCTGTGGAAAATGACAAGGAGAAGGATCAACAGAAAGTGGTCACTGGATAACTACTGATCATCAGATCTCAGTATTATTTCCATTGTTTTTTCTTTTCTTTTTTTTTGGTTTTCAGGTGAGATTCCAGAGGAGATTTAAAATACATTCTCAGTATTGACTGATGTCAATAAGGACCCCCCCTGCAGGACTGCTGCTCCCCAGTTATCCAGTATTCCAGTATTTACAGCAGTTTCCTGTGATCTGTGAGATAGAGCAGCAACACTGCTGCTGAGGTAGATTAGAGAAGCCGCCCCCCCACTTCAGTGAGGGGTAGGTTTGTGCCTGTGTGTGCCTGTGTGTAAAACACTAAAATAAAAAGATATGATGGGGTACCATGAACCCCAGAGCTTCATGAACTTCCCCCTCAGGAGAGAGAAGCAGCTCTACTTTGTGTAAGTAATTGAGTACTCACTGGTCTTAAAAAGGAAGAGTGCGTCTCCTTAGCCTGGTGATGGGCCAAAGAGGAAAATCAGCTTGGACAGTCAATCCAGTGAATGATTTTTTACAATTGTGAATAGCACCTTCAGCCTTCGAATATTTTCCTTCTGCTTTCATTAATGCTCAAAATCTAAACAATACTTGTGCTTAGGGTTTTTGTTTTCTTGTTTTGTTTTATTGCTAGTGGTAGTATCATTATTTACCAAAAGCCCCCAGGTTAGAGTATTTGAAACAATTTTTTACTGTTTATTATCTTTTTGATTTGGCCAAAGAGCCAAAAAAGAAAGAAATCCAGCCTAACTCTACCAGCAAGCTTGGTATATAAAAATCCATAATTATCAGTGAAATACAATGCACCTTTTCCTTCCATATTTTTATACTGTTTATTTGAAAGGAGATTTATATTGAAAAAAATCCAGTCATTTTCCTAGCACACTTGTTTTTTCAAATCTCTGTTGGTCTATGGGGTTTTGTGTTTTGAAGAGGATAACTGAGATCAGAAACCCAAAAAACAGCCAACAGCAGCATTTATGCATGTCATTTGAACGAATGAATTTCTCCATTAATCTTATATTTTAGATGGCAGCTTTGGCACTTTTATTTATTTCATGTAGCAACTGAAATGCAGAGCCCCTGTGAGTCTGATCTGACAACCTTCACCACAAAGGCAGAGCTCCTGTTGTTAGACAACTGGACTTAATGATCACAGCAAGCAGGACTGAAATTTTATTGGTGTGCTTCTGTGTGACTGTGACAGTGTTGACACTAAATCAAATTCAATTAGCAAGGGCTTGCTAATGAGTTATACCGCTTTGCAAAGTAGAAAGGACAAAAGCATTTTGCAATCTCCAGCCTGCAGACTGGTTACTCTCAGTGTTAACGGAGCAATAGCTTAAGGAACCACTGCAGGATTTTCTCCCTAGATTAATGTTAAAGAATGCTTTGCTAATGAATCCCTGAACAAATGTGTTGTGTTACTGGAGAGGGGGGTGGCAGGAGAGAAAATACAAGCAGCTTTTTTGTCCTCAAGTGCTCTTGAAGTGATTTATAAAACCACTGTGGAGCATAGAGAGCAGTGGAAACTGCATCAGCAGATGACAACATGGCTGAACAGAGTATCGCATCGGGAAATGTGTCCTGTGAGCTACCAGAACTAACACCACTGCCCCTCGTGCAGTGCCGGTGGGTATTGCACATCTCAGGAGTGTGCAGCAGGCAGGTGCCCGTGTGCTCAGTCCTGCGGCGGGCTGCATCACTGGCCACACCCAGCAGAGCACTTCGGCAGCCCCGAAGGCTGAGGACATCTGCCGTGAAGCCTCGGGGACTAGGAGCCTGTAAGTGAAAAACCACGCACAGGTGCTTGGCCAAGGCTGAAACACTCAGCATCTGGTAAGGCTATGCTCTGTCAAGTGAGCAGTTAAATAAACACGGCAGCTTTCTTTACACAGCACCCACCAGGGCGAGGTGGAAGATGTGCAGTGTGTGCCATAGGGGCTGCTGGACCCCTGGCTGCCTTCATCTGTGTTCCACTTATTGTTCACCTCGTAAACCTGTCTGTGCAAGTGAGGTATCTTTTGAGTAAAGAGCATGTAAAAATCTATTTTATAATACATGAATGAGGTGGTCCCTGTTTAAATTATGGAATAGCAATAAAAATAATAATTTCCCCTCTAAGGTCTGCTGACAAGTCCAACACTGAATTCTTGGGGAAGTTACATATGTGTCATTCAAACTGAATTGTCTCCTTTATAGTTCTCTATCAATATATCAATATTAACTGACAGTGATATTTTCATTTAATGTTTTGAAATATTTGAATTCCTAGTGGATGTGACATCCCTCTTTGGTTTGCACACACACACTTTACATTAATGCTTATGTATAAAATCAGTGTAACATACTGATATCATACAACTTTGATTTCAACTGATGAAATCTTTGTAAAATTTAAATAATTTGGACTGATGTTTTTTCCCCAAAACTTATGATCTCCCTCTCAATAAATGTTCCTGGAAAATTTTAACTGAAATATTTCAGCTACTTCCAGAATGAAGGCTTGAGGACAGTACTTCATGTTGTCCAACCTGAAGCCATGACCAAAACTAAACTGTGTGTTACTGTATAACCAAGCTCTTCAAATTTGCTCTGGTTTGTCTCTGAGCATGCATTCATATATTCTATATTCCTGCTGTGTTAGCAGGCGTGCATAACATATTGTTTATGGCAGCTTATAGGGGGTTCCAAAGTAAATCTGGAACCAAATCCAGTAATTAATTATTTCAGTCTTGTCCACTGACATTTTCTTCTAAGTCAAAGCCATTCAAGACTCTCATGCACCAGTGATACAGTTCACCATGGTCCTGACTTTGCTTTGTGGGGACTATGATGTACACCGACTCATCCAAATCATCAGATATTTTAGCACAAATCTAGGGGCAAGGGTGAGGAAATGTAAACCCCTTAGCATCATCTTTTGGAGCAAACTACTCTGTACTGGTGAGGCCCCACCGCGAGTACCGTGTGCAGTTTTGGGCACCTCAGTATAAGAAGGACATCAAACTATTAGAATGTGTCCAGAAGAGTGCGACCAAGATGGTGAAAGGTCTCAAGGGCAAGACTTACAAGGAGCAGCGGAAGTCACTTGGCTTGTTCAACTTGGGGAAGAGAAGGCTGAGGGCTGACCTCATCGCAGTCTACAACTTCTTCAAGGTGGGCAGTGGAGGGGGAGGTGCTGATCTCCTCTCTCTGGTGACCAGCAATAGGACACAAGGAAATGGAATGAAGTTCAGAATTGGAATTAGGAAAAGGTTCTTCACTGAGAGGGTGGTCGGTCACTGGAACAGGATCCCCAGGGAAGTGGTCACAGCACCAAGCCTGTCAGAGTTCAAGGAGCATCTGGACAGCGCTCTTAGTCATATGGTTTAGTTTCAGGAAGTCCTGCGAGGAGCAGAGAGTTGAACTCGATGATCCTTATGGGTCCCTTCCAACTTGAGATATTCTGTGAAGCATCACTGGATGGTTTGATAGGAGCTGCCTAATTCTCAGACCTACATATCCACTCATTACCATGGAGATTCACCTCAGGGGAAAGACATTTTGCACATGCTCTGTAGAGATGCTCAAGTGCTTTTGAGCTACGTTCCTAGTAACTTCTCTTTGTACTGGACCTATGGCAGGCTTGGAGTAAGCACGATTTTCCCCTGGAATTGGCAGGGGCTGGGACTGGAGCTGAGATCTGGGAGTCACGATCCTATGGCCCTTCCTGAATAATTTGCTTCAAATTGTGGCCCTCAAAGGTGGGATCATCTCAAAGATGATGCTGCCTGAATCAAAGGAAGACAGGGGAACCTCTTCCTCTGTCCTTTCAAAGTCTGGGGGTTTAACTCTGGGGATTTCAGAAACTCCCTTTTTCTGCATCAGAATGAATTGTTTGAAGTCTCTTACATTCGTACACAGTTGTGTGCAGATACTCATCTCTATGTGTGACGATGAGGGGTGAAGGCTGAACTGCTTGGTGTCTGGTTGCCTGGGATTTTTGGTCACCAACTGGTGTTGCTGTCCTGCCTGCCTGAGGTCCATGAGGGACTTGAAAGTCACCTGTTTCATTGCAGCTGAATGTCTTTCTTATCTGACAGCTAGCTTTCCTGTAGCTTTTGGTGGTCAGGAAACAGCAAACATCTTAAAATCAAGAAACCGTTCCTGGGAAACATTTCATCAAAGCTGTTTTCATAAACAGCTGACAAATCAACATCTCAGAAGAAAAACTGTCTATTTAAAAAAGCTTCTAAACAAGTTTGTTTCTTTTATTTTAGTCTACCTATTCCTCAGCTGCTGTTTTTTAAAATTGGTTTATGCATATCTGGTTAAGATGTAAAAATAAATATATTAATATTTTTTAAGCATTTGGATACCAACGAACATTAAAAAAAAGGCTTATGAGAAGATTAAGAATTTTGCTGTTAGAGCAGTGTTGTATAAGTAAATAAGACCCCAGGCCAAACATTGAACAACTAGCGGAAAACAAGCTATTGACTGGTTGCTTTTTCAATGAACACCATCCATCCTATGTATTAAGTGAAGTAGAGTTCTGTGGAGAACACATTATTGAATCTTGTAATTCACAGCATAATGCATACACACCAGAGGGAAAAAATATTTCTGGTATTTCCTAACTTTAGAGAGCTTGAACCCACTGCCATAATAAGGTTCTTTTAACTTAGACTGTGTGTGTGTTAGGCACATTGTGTAGCATGAATGATGATACTGTCAGACCATGAGATGGTTCGATGTGGTCCAAATATTCAATTAGAAACAGTTGGAAAATACAGTATTTTGCTTCATCAGTGCATCAGATCATATTCTGCATTTTCCATTGCTGAAGACCAATGTAAGAGGAGACTGGACCTCCAAAGCTTTAATTTCTACTCTGCTATTTTAAATTGGTGATTGCCTTTGGGCAAATCACTTAATCAGCCTCTGATCTTGGTTACGCAGGTGAGGCTGAAGTAATTAAATCAAAAATGAAGGAGTTGAACTGAATTTATAGGACCACAACAGATCAAAATCTGTCTCTAAAAATGCAATGTAAGAGCTAGAGGGGGGGATATAATTTTTATTTTTTTTTTTTTAAAACATCAAATTTTTACTGTCCTCACACAGAGCTTGTGTAATTCTTTTTAAGTTTTAACTTTATTTATTCAGGATGTTTCCTATCCCCTCTACATGATGGCGAAACAAATAGTTTTGGGGGACAAGAGAGTATTTTCTTTCCTGTTGTGACAATATTTCAAAGATATGATGCTATTTTAAATATCTGCTGTTCTGTTGTGAGAATTGCTTGGGGTAAATATGTGGAATTCATGTACTGAAAACAGTTAAATCATAGCATCCTACCATCCTTGAGTATGTTGTGTTGGAACCTAAGTGCTGCATTTTGTGATTACTTTAGGGTTCTCCTTTAGACTTTGTGAAAAGTTATGTGTGGCCTGGGAGTTATGCTTTGCATACAGTAGAGCCTTCCATCCATGAAAGGGTCGCAATACAAGTAAAGCCTCACAGTTGTCCTGAAGGAAGAAAACACATCTAGTTGATAATTAACACTTAAAATGACATAGCAATACAAGTGGCAGAGCCAGGAACTGAATGCCTGTTTTGGCTCTCACTTTCCAGATCTAGCCACATCACTGCCTCATGAAGATAAAAGGTCCAGAGAATAGCTTTAATTAAATCATGAATTATGAACCTGTTTTAGCCCTCTGCTTAGAACAGCAGCAGGTAAATACAAAGTGGATGGTCCTGCAGCACGTTTTAATTACAGTAAAAAGACTTTGGGTGAGTCTAAAGCTGTAACAATGAGAGAGAAGGCAAAAAAAGGTGCAGCCATTGATGTGATGGCAAGCAGACCCATGGTTAGGAGGTGGAAGCTCCTTGTTGGGTAAGCATATTGGAGCCATTTATAGAGGTAAGAGAATTACAGAGGATTTTTCTCGGGGTAAAATCCTCTTGTATTGAAGGATTAAGTTGCTGTAGTTAACCTGATCTTAGGTAGGCAGCAGTGTGAGTACCATTAATAAAAAAATTTTTCTTTCCTTATCCAAAACTAAAATTGAACTGTGCTGTAGCTGGATGACTAGGTACAAGCCAAGTAATCCTTCTTCCTTGTCTGCTTTGCTTCTCTCTACCTAAAATGTTAGTAGTAAGTAGGCAGCTACTGTGAAACAAATTCAAGGTAATAGGCTTGTTCATAATGAGGTAGAAGTGAGAAACTGAGAGAGTGTAATTTCTTGTTTAACTGAAAATGCTTTTCAGTTAAAAAAATGTTTCTTTATTATGAACAGTCTCTGAGGAAAATCACTGATTCAGACTTCGTCCATATTCCAAAATGGAATTTTAAATTGCTGACTTCACTGTTAAATATTTTAAGATCTTAATCTGTTCGCGTTAGCTACGTGACCTACTCTTCTGTGGAAAAAAGGCTGCATTTCTACATAAAGCCTTTGGTATGAGAACACTCTGAATGGGGAGCTGTGGTGGCATTTTAAATTTATTGGTCAATAGATTTATTTTATTAGTACTGCTGATGACAGCTACTCGAATTTTGTTTTTCATGGTTGCATCCATGCAAGACTGCAACAAAGCAGAGGGATGCTTCCTACTCCCCACTGAGACTGCAAGCCTCAAGGCCAGTAAAGCATGGGTTCTGGAGGGAAGCTAGGGCAGGAGACCCTCTCCAGGCAGTTGAAGCTGAAGCAATGTACTGAGTTGTAGAAAAAATAGGTAGGCAAAGTAGGATTTGACCACAGTTGCTAGAGGGCAGGTGCAACAGCAGACTTCCTTAATGCATGATGATTGTGCTAGGCCTGTAGGGTGGGCCTGATTAAACCTTTCGTCTCACTTGTCAAGCTCTGCCACGTGCTTTAGAGACTGTAAGTATTATAGTGTATTCAAAATCAATGCTGGAATGACAGATTTTAGGTGCTGCCTCTTCTACAGTTTTGTATATCCATTTCTTTAGTTGACATTGGGAAGAACACAATGGCTTCAGTGCCTCCTCTGGATCTTGAAAGTGTGATACACCATATTCCTGAAAACTTTGCAAAAAAATTGCCAAAAGAGTTTGCAAGTGCTGCTAGAGCTGGGGATGAAACCAGAGAGTCCTCTTCTCCCTGTACATCTCCTGTTAGGAAAGAGATGTTTAGGCAAACATGCCTCTCTAATTCAGATTTACTAGCCTTTTCAAATTCAGACTGATCTTGCTCAGCTAGAAAGAGAGCAAGTTAAACAGCATCTTGAGGTGCATAAAAAATGAATCTAGGAGTTGAGGAAGCCAAATGTGATTAAATCTGGAATGGCAGCTTGACCCCATTTGTCTACTAGTATAGGCATGACTGAGCCCACCCTCTGGTAAGTAAGTGTTCAGTGACATTGTTTCTCTGGGATTTATTAAAATTTATCACCAATAAAATATTAATTGTACAAATACTATGAATCCTCAAAGTTCACTCTGTCTTGGACAGTGGGTCTGGGTGTATTTATTCTCCAGAATGGCAGCAAGCCCTGGCTGTTTTGAACTGTTCTTAAATTTATCTGTGTTGGTCACTGAGTTGCTCTTAAACCTTTTTATTGAGATAATGAAAATGTGGTGAGATCTGTTCAAAAGTGAGCTTTATGGTCCTCTGTTCTTTCTGAAATGCAGGGTTTGAATCTTTTCACTGTATGATATAACTGGGCAGTACTGTTAAGCAATATTGGACGGATTCCCTTACAGATTGTTTTTGTTTCTTGACTTCTTCCAATATCACTAAGAACTTGTAATATATTAAATCATTATCGTCCCTTCCTCCCGCTGTTTTTTTAAAATCTTTTTCTTGTTTGGATGACTTTTGTTTGTTTAGCTCTTTGTATGTAGGTCGGCCCTCAATGCAATTAATTTATTAAAGTGTTAACTTGAGTTGAGTTACTAGGTCAGTTCAGAATAAAGTAGGTTCATGTTTGGGGATTTTATTTTGTTTGTATTACCTGATAGCAACTTATAGAATTTCTAAAATAAATAGGTGATGCTCTGTTTCGTATGTGAAACTGTCCTTCAGAAAGTGAAATGTGTACCTGAGGGGCCTAAGGTCAGGATGGCGTCAGGCAGATGAAGGTCCTTTTGCATCCCACTACCCTTTTATTTGATCTAATAGAAACAAGCCTCCTTTTCATGAGAT